AAAAAAAAACAACCAACAACGAAAACAAACAATCCAAAGAGCAAACTGCATATCACTCCATATTCCTTAAGACATTTGTAACTAGCTGATAGCTTTCCACCAGCCCGCCTTTTGCCGAGAGCCTAAATTCAGAGAAAGGCAGGAATAGCATTTCCTCTTTAACGTCCTATACTTATTTTGTGAATACACAATAGCATGAAGTGATGCATGTACCAACCAATAATAATATAGTACATAATATCTTTTAATACTTGATGATTTAATACTTGATTCGAGTGGTCATTCACTGTTTAAAGGAGCCGCAGTGAATGTTTTTGGGGTAACAGAAAAAATGATGCTAAAAAGATAGGTTTCTTTTGAGCTTAACCATTTATATTGTGTAAGTGTAAATATTAAATCTGGCGTCTGTGCTATAGCAGTTGGCGAAAAAGGTGAAATGGTATAGGTTTAAGGCCCCTGTTAGTACTGTTAGGTCATTTAAGAGGCGAGACCTTTGAAAGGACGGAGCCAAATGAAAAAAACGTGTAAAGTGTCTTTCCCAAGGACACAACGTCGGATCGAGCTGAGGCTGGTTCTCTCTTTGCTGTTGTTTAGTTTTAGTAAGCTGTTGTGCGCACGATACGCCTAATTCGATTTATGAGTGGTGATATTTTCTTTTAGTTGAATTATCCCCCTATTTTTGGCTGGGTTCTGCATTCCTTTTCAGCGCCGATTGAGCCTGATAGGTAGCGTCTATCAGCTTTTGCTGATGGAGGCGTAAAGCACGTACAATAACAATTATCTATTCAAAGAAACCTGACTGCTTCTAGGTTGGAGTAGCGGTAAATGTAGTATGTTTGCTCCCCACCAGGAAAGTACGTGTTTGACCGCGAGGTGGTTGACCTGAAGCTGAAGGAGGGCGAGGAGCAAGTACACCATGACCTGGAGAAGTTCAAGGAAAAACTGCTAAAGCACAAGGTGAGCAGCGCGCTGCTGAGACAAGACACACACCTCAGAATGGCATATGAGACAGAATAATAATAATAATAATAATAATAATAATAATAATAATAATAATAATAATAATAATAATAAATAATAATAAATAATAATAATGATTATAAAGAGCATAATATATTATAAGGACGCATCAATCTTAAAGGGAGGCTAAGATTACTATTTTACAAAGTAAAGTATCTGGGTGTCTCTGCTGGGATGTTGTATCCCTTTCAGTCCTGGTTGGCGCTGACAGGTAGGTTCCGAAGTGTTCTTCTTAAATCATTTGAATTGTGTTGACGCAATCGTTAAAAAACCCTCTCAAGATTAATATCGAAATGATATGCTTTTAAATAAGGATGGCGATATATTACACATGAGATAAGTAGGATGAAGTGTATGAATATTTAATTGATTGTTGCATATTTTGGGTAGAATTTCATTATGATCTTTTGGAAATCAAAGGATTTTCGTGAACGCACCGGAGATACGCGGTGAGGTATGGATGTAAGCTGACATAACACGATATTTCGAGTATATTTATTGCCGCTACGTCGCCGCGCCGACAACTTTCAGGAACTGACAGATTTACACTTTGGATGGTAATAATTGAGCTCTAAGTTTATAAACCACATTGGTGTTTGTTTGTTTTTTGTTTTTTTAACCTTGGAACATTCTTTAGATCAGGACGTATCATTAATAGAAAACCGAACAGGAAAGGCTGAGAAAACAAGTGGTTTGCCGGTGTGAATCAGTCAAAGACAGATTATGGGCATCAAGAGAGATTTCAGCGGGGTACTAATCACAAAACATTTAGCAAGTAGCAAACATCCAGAAATGTAATGCGGTTTAAATTTAATTGTCACCTCATGCTACAATGTTCTAACAAAATACTTGTATAAAAGGAAATATGATTTTCCTAATGTCAGTAAAATGTAAAATGTCATTCCCTGTATTTTACGAGTTAAGGCTCATGGAAAAGTTCGGGCTGTGTCGGCCAAGAACCCAGGTGACGCCATCTTGAAAACGTCAGAGGAGGAAGCGAGTGACCTCATTGTGATTGGCTGTCGTGGTCGCAGCTCTCTGAGGAGAACCATTCTGGGCACCGTCAGCGACTACATCGTTCACCATGCCGCTGTGCCCGTGAGTACACGAAGTGCCATAGTAACAGTCTTACTGTTTTGCTGTTACGTTTATTATTATTTTTGTTGTTGTTGTTGTTGTTGTTGTTGTTGTTGTTGTTGTTGTTGCTGTTTTTGTTTTTGTAGTTGTTGTTTTTGTTGTTGATGCGCAATTTGTTGATTGTATTGGTATGGTAGCCTACCGCTGATTTTGTTAGTGGAAGTATTGCTGTTGCCGCCGTTTAGTTGTTGTTGTTGTTGTTGTTGTTGTTGTTGTTTTTTGTTGTTGTTGTTGTTGTGTATGTGATAGCCTATCCGTTCGAAATGTTTGGAGCCCCAAAGGGCGTGCTCGGAGAGGATTCAGGGAGGTTGGACTGCCTCACCCGCTGTTGTTGTTGTTGTTGTTGTTGTTGTTGTTGTTGTTGTTGTTCTTGCTTTTAGTGTTTGTTGTAGCTGATGATCAAAATTTGTTTATTCTATTGGTATCCTACCATTGCTATTATTGTTGGTGGCAACTCCTTTAATTGTTCAAACTGTTGTCATGTAGGGGACATACCTGCTGATCATGCTTTAGACCGGATTAATGTGTTGTTGTCGCTCTATTTCTTTTTTCCTATAATGATTTTTTTTCATTGCAAATCAAAGTAGTCGCGATTGTTGTAGGAATATGGCGTTTGGAGTGGTAACTGTGGTATTTGCTAACATAATGCTTTTGGTGCAAATTTTTCGTCTTCATGTTTTTGTATGTTCGTAAGACTTTTCTGTTTTTTTTGTTTTTTGTCATAGTTATCAAATAAGTAATTAAATTACTCATGTCTACTCACTACACATTATCTGAGAATACTTAGACGACGCTGTCACTCCTTTCTCAGGTTGTGGTGTGCAGATACAAGACATCCCGCAGAAAGTCCAGTGCAATCACGGCTCCAAACCCTGAGGAGTTGTGCGTTAAGTAGTTCACAGAGATGGCTGTTCATGGCCTTCTTTCTGTGTACAGCCTCACACTTACAGCTTCGATACTTGGTCCAAATCCATATCTAAAATCTTGTGTACCTTTGTTTTTCCCACTAAGGGAAATTGTTAAATGCAGAGTAGGTCACACAAAGCCTTGCAAATGGTTGGCTTTGTTGTAAATTATTTCTGTTTATGTAACGTGGATGCCGGAGCTAAACTACAAACGTTGACTGATACTCGGCAAGGCGAAATATTCAACATCCATGCTTCCTTCACTGTGTATAACTTATAGAAAGACTTAACGCTCACAACATATTTGAAAATCGTGCATATTGTACCTTTAGTCTTTAATCAGAATTCTGTGTGTTGTATTATGCAATGCATTATTTGGTTACCTGTGTCATATAGACTTTTTTTTTGGCTTTGCTTTTTTTTCTTGATTTTTGTTTGTTTGTTCCAAAACCTCATTTCGATTATTGAAAAAAAAATGGCTGACCATGCGTGTAACTGATATAGGAAAGACAATCTACTTTTGTACTACATCTCACAGAGTTCCCTGCTCTCTCGATAAAATAATATCGAACCAAAAGGCCTAGTGATTAGGCACCGCAAAGTTGTTGCATATTAAAAAAATAGACCTTGCTTTTCTCAATCACATAAGCGAAATGAACTACGAAATGAACCTTGTATAAAAAAATCAATTCCCTGATGTTGCACAGATTATAGTTAAGTGGTGAGCGGCAATCCACTACTAACTGCTTTCCGCTTTAGATGAAAATATTAAATGACCAAAGACATAGAAACGAAATCGATAGAAAAAACAAAAAAAAACTTTATCTTACTTCTAACGAAGTGATTCTGCTGCCAATATTTATGTTATAGTTATTGTCTTAATGTGCTCATTATTTACTTGTCTATCCGTACACAGTTTGTTATGTGCCTACGTTACTCTTATTGATATCAACACGTCCCCAGTGCATAATCGGAAAAAGTGAAAGACAATAAAAGTATAATTAAACAATAAATTTTCCACATGGTTGACTTTTGCAATGAGTGCATATCATTGTTACTTCGGAAGTAAACGCTTCTAAGAAGAGGCATTTATGACTATTTTTTTGGATTGCTTAGTCTATAGAGAAGTTGGGATTTAAAAATTATTATTGTTCACTTATCTCCCAATCAAATTTAACAAAACCCCGAAGACCTGTCGACTACGTACAGTCCTAGTTATGTGTGTAGTTTAAGCATAATTATGTGTATTGTGATGAACCAACACGGTCTCAAAGTCTAACACGTTTTTTAATCCATCCATAAATCTAAAATGTGTTAATTAAGAGATACAGATTGGTTTATTACAATGAAAGAGTGCGAATACTCTGTTTTGAAAAAATGGACTCACTAGTTTGAACAAAGCTTAGACACAAAAGCACATTAACGCTTGTCAAAACAGCTCGACTGAAGCAGAAAACGAGTAATTGAAGTGTGCTTGACAATAATTTTTCTTTTTATAAAAATAACATTTCAGAGACAAACTTAGCATTTGGAGAGAAATACTCAGCGCTTGGGTACATTACATCTTTCTGACGGTGATATTGTGGAGTGATGTGATATGGTAAGGGAAATAAGTGGCAAGTGTTTTTTAGTCTGTACTTCTGTGTCTGACGAAAGAAATCTTAGCAGACAGACAGAAGCTACTAGATTTTAAACAAAACAAAACCCATAATAGAATTTAAAGAATAAATAAACAAGAACAACAATAACAACCTCAGACTACAAAACAGCAACCCCCCCCAAAAAAAGAAGATATGTAGTAAAAAAAAAAGCAACAACTTGCAATCTCGAAAATCGAACTCACGTACTAAGCAGCGATGAGGCCCTACCCGCTAGACCATCGACACCGGTGCGGTGAATCAGTTCTGTTCGTGTTTAATGCTATCACTCAAAACTATAATATAAAAATATGGTTAAAAAAAAATTAAAATAGCTCTCTTCGGTTTTCTCATAAACAAAGTAGTAGATTCTATGGGCAAGTCAACTTTGTTGGGAAGCAGATTACGTAGAACATAATGATCAATTTTCTATTTTTTTTAAAAACAACCCATCGCACAAATTATCCCCCCCCCCTCATCCCCGCCCCCTCCATGGGGGTTTGAATTAGAATCATCCGCAATGAATTCGAAACGTGAACTATACAGCTCTGTGATAGAACTTTATTGGACTTAAGAGCGTGCTCCTGGTTCAGTGGTACTGAAGGCGAGTCCAAACAATAGATATTTAGAATCGTTACACGTGCCTATATTATTGAAAACCAGCTGGACCACCTTTCGATGACAGGAATGATCGGTGCTTTAACATCAACTGAAAGTCATGGGCCGACTTTATTTACCCTCAACTGGAATGGAGCAATAAATCCTGAGAGAAAAGAGACACATGTGTTTCCAAGTTCCCAAGTCCACTTTTATGTATATATACATAGATGCCGTTACGTGTATTACAGATGTTAATGAAAAAGGAGTCCACCACTTCCCCTATCCTCTACCACACCCCAAAAATAAATAGGATGAACGGACAGACCCAGAAATAACAGACAAATCAACTAAATGTCAAGTGAATAAAAGGGCAAAGAAACACAGTAGATCTATAATTAGAGGTTCATTTATTATCTCCCCACATACTAATACCCAAGACTAAAGAATACCAAGACGGACAATAGGCCTCATTTTCGGTCTAATTGGCTCCCAGGAAGAAGCCCCGATGTTCATAATTATCTCTCTCTCTCTCTCTCTCTCTCTCTCTCTCTCTCTCTCTCTCTCTCTCTTTCTCTCTCTCTCTCTCTCTCTCTCTCTCTCTCTCTCTCTCTCACACACACACACACACACACACTCTCTCTCTCTCTCTCTCTCTCTCTCTCTCTCTCTCTCTCTCAGCGCTAAAATAAATACAATACATAACACTAGCCTAGGTTTATACCGTCCGAGATGATCAGTAGCCCTGTACTGTAACAAACGTAAACTACCGCTTGTTTAGCTCAGCGAGTTAGGCTATACGCGCCCATTCAAACGCGTGGGGGCCTTCTTTTGGCACATGACGTAAAGACAGATTGTCTCGTCCTGTTAGTTGTCGGTCTTGGCTGCTGCTACTACTGTTGCTTCTGCTTCTACCGCAGACTATGATAATGGTAAAGATGATGATGATGACAAGGTGGAGAAAAATGGTGACGATAAACGTTTTTATTAAATCTTCATTTGCTACCACTTTCATAAAACACTTTAAAATATGCTGCAAACATCCTCCTCTCGAAAACTTCTGAACTCCTTTATAAAGTGTGTCTATTTGGAGAACTTTTCCCACCATGATTACTTATGCTGTTTCGTTTGTGTACGTTTGAGGGGAAAATGCTGAAATGATTTAGGTTTATCGCCCCAATCAACACTATTTAAGAGGTGGGGCCTCCAAGCTAAACAACCATCTACGAAAGGACCTAGCATAATTTTAATTTAACCGACAGATGGTCTAATAAATAATTACATGATGCTTAATAAGCCTCACCTACGTCACTCGAGCCTCTATTCGCTTCGCCCTTCACAATACTTGCATTTACATACAATGTACGACTTTCCTCGCCTCGCTGAACTACACGTTCGGTGTCGGTTAACGGAACAACAGGCTCTGTTACCGGACTTTCTCGAAATGTCCACTCCAGAACTGGACAGGGCGTTCTCAACACCCGGGCTGTGAAAGCACCGGCCTCTAGGCGGGGACCCATGGTAGCTCTCTCGTCTGTCGCCTTCACTGACGTATTGGACAGTGCGCTCGCCACACGCGCAAGGGCACGGGCACGAAGTTCGATCCTTTGTAGGGCTTCTGGGCGCACAGCACGGGTAGATGTCGGAGCTGCAGACACGTGTGAGAAGAGGAGAACGCACTCGACTGAGGTGCGAGTCGACGTATTTACGGTGTGGGGCCGTCGCGGGTTGATCGCATTCGTGGCTTCTTCTGTGCGGGAGCCTCCGGGGTAGTGAGGGGTAGCGGCACTCGTGCTCGTTCGACGTATGGCACCAGTTGGGAAACGGTCTTTTGGGCGAGGGGCACCTGTGACCTTTTGAGTCTCCGACGTCATCTGATGTACCGCTCTCCTCAGACCTGACAGGAGTATTTTAAAGACAAAAAATAATATAATATAAAGATATAAGTAAAAGCTTTACAACAAAATCGACAAAATGATATTAATGATATTTCAATTAGTGTGTAGAAGGTTTTGAGATTGATGACAATGACCTACATCAACTAGAAACACGTTACTTCATTTTGAAGATAAAGAGTGTAGACCTTTTACCAAGACATCTAGTTGGCCGGGAAAATAAAAGCATTGCCGAAAAATTAAAAATTAAAAGAGAAAACCTTTGAATTTCTCGGATCTACACCTCAAGTCACGTGTTGGCCTTTTACATTTATCAACTAAACCAAAGCGTCCAGCCCATGAGAGATGTAGTTGAGAGCTCAGGTGGACTTTGGAGGGATAAGAGTTCTCTAGCGCATAGAAATGCGGATCAAATTTACTAGATGATGCAGTAATTCTCTATCAAGTACAGCGAATGGTAGCTGCACTGCAGGATAATGTATGTGCAGTCATGCACAAACCGGCACACACACACGCATACAAACACACATATACATTCACAAGCAGACAAGATAGACCGACTGTCGGACAGAGAAAGAGATAGAGATCAGAATCAAAAGTCAAAAGAGGAGCGAGAAAAGAAGAGAGAAAGGGATTAGGGAAGAGAAAGATGATAAACATTGTGATGAAAAAGGAACTGTTTTTCCAATTCGAGATTTTAAAAACACCCACAAAAACAAAAGCAAACAAAAATAAATTGTAGGATTCACGAATCTCTATTAAAGGATCCCTAGTCTTGTAACATTGTGATAATATTGGATATTAGATAATAATATTATGTTCGATAAGGAAGAAAGGATGAAGAAACTAGGCAAAGGGAAAAGTAGACGTTGAAAGCGCGAGAGAGAGAGAGAGAGAGAGAGAGAGAGAGAGAGAGAGAGAGAGAGAGAGAGAACGAAAGAGCAAATAATAATAATATGTGCCTCGTGCAACAGACAGACTCACAGGCACACAGACAAACAACCAAACAGACACGGAGACAGATAGACGATTAAGGGAAAAAGGAAAAAAAATGATGATATCAGAAATTACAACTTTGATTTCAAATACTTCTGAACATTACAATATAACTTATCTATCAAGTAAGCTAGCTAGAGGGCATCATGATTCGGGAAGCGCATACTATCTAATACTGAGAGCTTCACATACCTCAGTGTGCTAGAACTGGAGCTCTTCTTCTTCGGCTCAGGCGACGTACATCCACAATCCCCGTGACGCTCTCTCCGCTCCAAACGATCTCTGTCTCTTCCCTTCCTCTCACTTGATAGTCTGCTCCCATGCATTCTCCTGCGGTTCGGCGACTCCCTTTCTCCCTCCGAGCTAGTGTCTCCTTCCACATTATACCTGCCGCTGCCGGAGCTTTTTCTGGAGCTGCAAGGGCTGGGTCGACCTGGCTCTTGAGCTTGAGCTCTTTTGGCGCTCCTTTTCTCGGGTAAGCGAGGGCGTGATTTCAGAGTGGGAACCTCTTTGACGAAGACGCCTACTTCGTCCGGCTGCTCGACTGACAGATCTTCGCTGTCGCTGCTTTCTGAGCTGATCAGAATATTTTTCTTTTTTGGGTTTTCGACGTCACATAAGGAGTATGTTCTCTGGTCGTTAGCTTTGGTGTCTTTACTTTTACTCGGCTGTGAAGAGTAAAACATAATGTTTAAAAAATAGTTACAAAAGACTGGTGTGTCTGAAGTTTCATGATTTCTTATTTTCTAATGGTACATCAATTTATCGCAAAGGGAAATATGAATTCATCTACTTTTGCCTGTTTCAAAAATTCAATTGGAGGAAGGACATCTACTTGAGTACTTGAGGCGTGTTGTCCAACGTTTCCAAACAACGACTGACAGCCTGTGAAATCCCTAGGTTTAAACCCAAGTGGCATCGAATTGAGGACCTAGTGCTCTTTCTTTGAAATGACCCCTATAGTGCCTAGTATGAAGCTTATGTTGAAGAAGATAACGATGCCAATAATAATAACAACGTCATCAACAACTACAACAACAACAACAGCAAGAATAACAATCACTTATACTACGTTTTCAGTACACTACTCAATTTCCTATTTTTACTGTGAGATCTTTATTTCTCATAAAAATTATTGAAACGATTCAAGAGTCCAAACCTCGAAGTGTCTACTCCTGGAAGTCATTCCTCGTTTATTAAACCGAGCTAAGTCTGGTAAAGACATTTTGTTGAGCAATGTATCGTTTCTCAAGCGACATGATAACGCTCACAATGTAATAATATTTTAACCAGTTAATGAGGAATCCAGTCGAAATAATTTTGGTAACATTTTCAATGAAATCTCCATGTAGCAAAGTTACTGAATTCTTGCCAATGGCCACGTTTTGAACCTACTTTCACTAACGTCATGGACAAAATTTACATGCAAAGTCTTCTTATATGGAATAATTTGACGTGTTGCAAATGTATATGCTTTCCTGAAAATTTGATAACTGGTATTTGGTAATAATCGTTACCCTCCCCACTCCCCTCTTCTCTCTTCGCCCTTTTTGGCGCATTTGAGCCTTAACTCCCACTCAATTGAAAATATTTCTTGAGTGTGAGTCTGGGACCATACGTTTAACATATAACAGCTTACGGCTAGGGAAACGATGTGATTAACCCGACAGGTCAACATGGTAGAAGAACGTGCTGAGTTTATTCAGTTTTATGTGTCTTCTGGCACGGACTGATCCAGACTCTCTATACAAGATTTTCGACGATTTGACGTTTGCTGCAGTCTAATGAGGCATGATGATTCAAACAGGGAAGTAACCGTTGGCATTGAAAAATATTCAGAAACCTTTTGACTTTTTCTCTCCCCTTACCAACTAGCCCTTGCTGAGTCCATCCATCTGGTCAGTGTAACAGCGTGTAAATCATGTGTTACTTTGTCATATGCGATTTCTGAAGAACAGAAGCTCTCATCATTTATTTGTAATAAATGATAATATGTCATCAATAAATGGTTTTGAGTTGAAGGGAGGGGGGAGGGGGGGGAGGACAATGCTTGCAGAAGCGCAGTTTTGTGGCATTTTTTGGATTCTGTTTCCTTTATCTGAAACTTTAAAAAGCTGGCAACCGCATGTGCACTGTGAACTATTATACATATTTTATTTTTCTGGAGGTTCGGCATATTCCACAACTTTTCCTTTGGTCTGCTGCTGAACGGACATAATATATCGTGTCAACTACATCCTTAAAGAGTTAATCATTTTTACTTTTCTTACCCGGCTACTGTCTGGTGGCATCTGGGCTGCGCTACATTGAACACGTTTTCTGAAGGACAAGAGGTAAAACATAGTCAATTTCATGAGCTAGATGTCATAACAGGGAGGATTTGAGCCCGAAAAAGAAAATACATACATTAAAAAACCCCCGACGGATGCTTTAAGAGAAGGAAAAATACAATGACACCACTTTTGTGACCTGGTCCGAAAAAATGACAGCCAATATGAAAATTGTTGGTCCAAAGATGTTCAATTTCCTTAGAACACTCAGATTTTCACATACCTGCAATTCTTCTCACAGATGCGCTATCAAACCAATAAACAAGTTGTAATGTCCCCTCAACACATCCAAATAATTTCGTTGTCATTAGATTTTCCAATACTGCTGAAGAATATAAAGCCAGAGTTGTTACAGGAAGTGGTTTAATTTCAGTCTTTCGAACTCCAGTACTTCTTGGGAAAAGATATTCGACTCAATAGGGTCACCTACGTTATAATATCATTATCCTGGATACAGTAAACTTACCTTTCCAATTGATACACGTACGCTTAGAGCAATGAATAACAATCGTGCTAAAATTGAAACGTAAACTAAAATAGGCGTCTTTCCTTCTTTGTGGTTATCTGCTTGATCTCAAGTGTAGTTGACTGCTGGTTCTTCAACAGACAGTGCAACAGATTTTTAAGTATGTGATCGTTTTTCCTACTTAGCAAGGCCCCTTGTCTTCAAGCAGCCACATTCTAATTTCGAAACTATTCTTCATTGTGTTTGGTTTTTTTAAAATTCTGACCAGAGTATTGGAAAACAACAAACTATAATAGGCGTGACTTCGGAGTTTCTATTAAAGAGGTGAAGGGGAAAAACGAAGACCCCCCCCCCCCCACACACAGAATGTGACAACAGTAATTCAAAATGAGATAAATTATGCGTTCGGGTTACATACATTCTGAATAAAAGGTGCTTTTGATATTTGTACAGAAAAATCAAAAACATGTTTTTCATAAATACTTTGAATATCCATAAAAGCATCAGTTGATCATACGTATAGCTGTGTGAATGTGTTTGTCAGTGTGTGTACAGAAAGGTAAAAATTACCACCCACTCACATGAACGCATTCATGACAACATCTACAGCCCTGGAGTCCTCAAACAGATGGCGTTTCTCTTCCTTGAGTCTGATGAGCTCCTCTGTGCTCACGCACTCCAGGTTAATCAGCTCAAACAGGCGGCCCACGTGCTGCATGCGGCTCAAGGGGTTATACTCCAGCCACCCGATGACCGCGCGGACGGCGTCCATCTCGGAAGTGACCATCAGCTCCGGGTCTTGTAACACTGACACCAACTGGAGGAAAAGAGAACAATAGAGTCACAGTTCTCGCCACCCACGACAAACCCTTCAAAATAAAACAAAATGTAAATGTAGAAAAATACAATACTTTGGCCAGTTAAAATGACACGAGACCATTTTGAAAGAGGTGTTTGAAGGAAGGATGTGGGGTAGGAGACCATGGGGAAGACAAAGAGTAACATGGATGGATATAATAAAAACAATGACTGGTCTGGATATAGCAGAATATGCAAAGGCAGCTCATGACCGTGAAGCATGGAGGGTCATTACACGTGAACATCTGTGTCAGAGATGGCACCTCCAGTACCCTGTAGTACTGTTACAGCTTGTTAGGGTCATAATATGTTAGTATTTTAGCACCTGCTGTAAGGTGGCAGCTTGCATGTATTATGCTACCTTGGAAGTTGTGATATTTTCAGGTCTTTTGGAGGTAATAATAATATACATTGTGACACACATAACAGCTATGTGACGGCTTCTCTTGGGCATTACTACATGACAAAGTAAGACAAGATCCTGCATTTTTATTCCTTTCAGGTTTTGTTTGAATAAGAGTGACTTACATTTCTGGTAAAGTCATCATTGTATTTACATAAGGTACATGCTGTACACGTTCATCTCCTTTCTTTCTCCCATCCCCTCATCTTCTCTTCCCAAATCTCCTCCACCTTCTCCTCATTTTCTTCTTCCCGTTTACTCCCTGTCCTCCTTATCACTTCATCATACGATATCTTCTCCGCATTTTCCCACTCTTCCTTCTTCACCTACTACTCCCTCTCCTTCTTCTTTATTTCCTTCTCCTTCTCCTTCTTCGTTATCCCCTCCTTCTCCTCTCTTTCCTTTTTCTTTATTCCCCCCCCCCTTCTCCTTCTTCTCATTCTCCTCCTCCTCCCCCTCCTCAATCTTCTTCTTTATCACCTTCTCCTCCCTTTCCTCTCTCTCTCTCCTTCATCTTTATCTCTTCCTCCGCCCCATCTTCCCTCTTCTCCTCATTTTCACCACCAAATAACCTCCACACACACAGCAGACCTACCTCTTCCAACGAGGAGGCGAGAAACAAAGGTTCTTGAATGAGCTCCACGAATTTCTCCCGCAACAGATTCGGGAAGTCTGTGAGAGACGCGGACATCCCCTGCCGCTTCCGTATATCCATGTAGAGCTGGAGACGTTACAGAATACACACACACTGTTGTCGATTAAAAAACGGTGAAAGAAAATAACCGAGTCCAGAAAGATCTACCTCAGCAGTAAACTTAGTGAAGGCTGAGCGGTAGGAAAAAACACCAAAACAGAACAAAATTCTTAAGTTTAGAAAGAGAAAGAAAATAGTTCAAAAGAAAAACATTGTAATATATCTATATACCTTTATAAACATCCCTTAGCTGTATTCTCTGGGACAATATCGCTTTTAAAAGCAAGTCCGTCATTTTTATCTGGTCTCGATATTATACTTATTAAACGCATGTTTTGAGAACCTTAAGAGCGAAAAAAATATTCCCTATAAAATTAATTTCGTATATTAAGTTTTGCCACTAAAAAGTGTCATTGGTGAGCTATGACGTAGGCCCTATACGTATACAAAATGTATGTGAGATGCGGAAAGTGCTTGGACAGAGATTGATTGTTAGTATCTTACATAAATTTATGAAGAAAAGCTTTTTCATCTAGCCTAAATTGTTATTAAAAATCAGATTAAATTAAGACAAAGTGATACAAATTGTTGTGCAAAGTATGAGTGACAATATTCAGCCGTTAAGGAGATATTATTACATGAGGATAAGTTGTGCCACCAATTTTTGGCCGCACTCATATAAATCGTGGTTTGAGTAGGTATTTATTATTCTGTTTTGTTTTACGAACTGACGCTTTGTTGAGTTTCTACAAGCTCTTGATGGTGATGAAAAATGCACGGTACAGGCTATCAAAATTAAACCGTATGTACTTGGCAGGTGCTCTGGTATAGTTTGCTCCTTCTTTCCTATTAAAGATATAAATATCGTTCTTATCTGTCCTCATTTTCTTTGGAAGCTACTTTCTCGTTACGCTTCAAATCTTCATCATGTATTTGACCTATCAGTGTTTAAAGTGCCGTAAAACTCTAACTAAAACAAACAAAACACGGTTACTTTGAGGTTCTCCTTGGTGGGTCTGTCCAGGATAGACTTGACCATGTCCACGACGTCTGTGATGCCCATGAAGCATGCGGCTGAGAGCACGGGCTCAAGGGTCGTGTCCGTTAGGTGCATCTCAGACGTATACAGGTACATGAGAATCTGAGGGAAAAAATAATATTATTTTGTCAGGAATGTACATATTTTAACTTTTATCTCTATACGATATCATCGACACAATATAGGTAATTCAAGAAGCCGGTTTCGATACAACGTCCTAGTAGAAAGACAGATCCTCGATTAAGATTTTCCAACACGGGAATCGAATTTATGCCTTTTGCGTGAGACAGCCTTTGCCCCGTTGATGCTAGTTGTTTTATGGGTCTTTTCAGTTAATGTAAGTATAGATATGTAAATACAAATGTTCGTACGTATCTATCTATCTATCTATCTATCTATCTATCTATCTATCTATCTATCTATTTATCTATCTATCTATCTATCCATCTATCTTATCTATCTATCTATTTTACCTATCTATCTATCGCTCTCTATCTCTCTATCTCTCTAACTATTCATCCATCCATCCATCCATCAATCCATCCATCCATTCATCCATCCATCCATCCATCCATCTATCTTACTATCTATATCTAGTTTTCGAAAGGATTCTACCTGATAGAGAGCCTCCGGCGTGGTACTGGGGACATCTATACACACAGTGGGCGGGATCTGTGGTTGTGAGGGGCAGAACACGTCGCTGAATGCCGCCAGGACCAGCTTGTGAGCCAGGAAGCACTGACTGCCTACCTTTTAGGTCACACAAATAATGAAAATCATTAATCATTCAAATTGTAACATCATAATCTCAGCGAGAACGTGGTTGTAATTACTCCCACAAACAAAATTAAGGGCGTGGTCAAGTCAAAAACTGGTTATGTAACATTACGCCTACTACAACTTAATTCGTTTATTCAAAAAACAATATTTGCCTTGTTTTTGACTTGGTGTGCCGGTATAAAAGAGTACACTTCGGGAATGTCTTAGTTGCTTATTACCGTCGTGAAAGTATTGTATTGCAACGACTGTTGTAAGTTAAGGGCCAGTATTCTTGGTTTCTCCCTAAACTTAACATTATTCAAGTGGTGTCAGTATGAGCTCCATTCAAACGCTATGAAAATAATATTTGTTTCCAGGGGAAGGCACCCTAATCTCCAACTTTCTGTATTTTGAACTCTTTTTCATGCCAATTCGTCGACAGATACTGTCTTTAAATAAAACAAACAAACAACAACCGATGTATGCCAGCAAAAATAGAAAGATGAGTCATCGAGGTTAATAACAGTAGTAGTTATAATAATAATAATAATAATAAAAATAATAATAATAATGATAATAATAATAATAAAAATAATAATAATAATGATAATAATAATAATAATAATAACAATAATAATAATAATAATAATAATAATAAAAATAATAATAATAATGATAATAATAATAATAAAAATAATAATAATAATGATAATAATAATGATAATAATAACAATAATAATAATAATAATAATAATAAAGATATAATAACAATAATAATAATAATGATTATAATAATTATAAATATTATAATAACAATAATAATGATAATTATAATAATAATAATATTAATAATAATAATAATTTTAAAAAATCATTATAATAATATTAATAATACAACTAGAACAAAAATAATTGAAAAAGTAAACCGAATTCAGACACTCACTGCAAGGACGGAAATCAAGGGGTTCATTACACTGATTAACGGCTGTAAAATACTAGCTGAAGGCCAAGGAAATGAATATAACACCCTTATATTATCCACTATTGTAAACATGAGACAAAAAAGAGACGTTAGTATCGTATCGTTATGATATCATGAAATCTCGGGTCAGGAAGGAACATCACTAAAACACAATATAATCTATTATTACCTTTCAAGTTTCGGAAGAAAGACGTTTTCATAATATCAAGACACAGTAGTGATAGGCGTTTGGGGATTATTTAGTAAGAATGCTCGCATTGTTAAATGTTGAAAACAGAAAAAATGCTAATATTGGTTAGAATTATATCATTATATATCGCCAAAACAATACTAAAACAAATAGCGGATCATTCTGTCACTAAACTTTTAATCTTTCAGCAAGCAACGATCTATCTATCTATCAATCTAACTATCTATCTATCTATCTATCTATCTATCTATCTATCTATCTATCTATCTATCTACCAGTTGTTTGTTTCCATTTATGAAATTTAAACCTCTATGCAGTTGCGAGCGCCTGAAAACTTTTACAAAAACGAATGAAACAAAACACCACCCCCTCAAAAAAAGCAAACAAACAAGCAAGCAAACAAACAAACAAAATAACGAACAAAATAACAAACAAACAAACAAACAAACAAACCTTTAATTTCACGTCACACAAACACTGGTTTTTCCATAACTCGAAGAGGTATTCTCCGATAAATGTGCTGCCTTTAGGATCACACTGTTGGTTGTTTACTCTGCATTCTGGGTAGATGTTATTCTTGTTCTAGAAAAAAAGGAAGCCATTATGTTAGAGAAGTTTAAAAAAAAGATGGAATTGTAGGTTTAACGCCCCTGTCAACACTATCAGGTCACGTAAGAGGCTGGACCTCCGAGTTCAACGTCTATCTTAATCATCTTATAAAATAGGACTGACTAGTCCTATTAGATCGGATTGCCGTAACATATCAATTAGATGTGTGCGGAAGGGATACTGTGAGTGTGTGTGTGTGTGTGTGTGTGTGTGTGTGTGTGTGTGTGTGTTTGTGTGTGTGTTTGTGTGTGTGTGTTTAGTTAAGTTTAGTTTAGTAAAAGTATTACGGCGCTCGCAACGGCATAAGGTCATATGAGCGCTCCAAACACAAGTTGATTACATTCACTACAGTTCACCTCAAGGTTTGGCCCAGGTCAATGGTCAGATTTAAAATGCTGAAAACTTCAAGGCTTGGCCCAGGTCAATGGTCAGATTTAAAATGCGGAAAACTTGAGGTAAAATAACAATTTAAAAATGATAACCTGATTAAAATTAAAATAACTGTTTTTACATTTACCGTAAAGACCAATGGCCTGTGTGTGTGCACGCGCGCGCGCTGTGTGTGTGCATGTGTGCGTGTGTGTGTGTCTGTGTGTGAGTGATTGTATGACTGATTGTGTGAGTGACTGTGTGTGTGTTTTTTAATGTGTGTTGAAACTGCAAGCCAATATGCCAGAGCATGAACAATAAAGGCTTTTTGTCATTATTAATACTATAAAAAAATAATAATAAAAAGTAATGCTATTGACAATAATGATGATAATCATAACAGCAACAACAACAATAAGAGTAAAAAAAGTAATTAAAAAATAAAAATAACAACAATAATAATAATAATAACAATAATAATAACGACTATGATGATGGTGATGATAATAATGATACTACTACTATTACTACTACTATTACTACTACTACTACTACTACTACTACTACTACTACTACTACTACTACTACTACTGCCAAGTGACTACATCATTATGATGATTAATGACTAAAACGACACAAATTGCGAGTTCCTAACGGTTGAAATGTCGTCCGTTTGACCCTTTTGTGGCATCCATAAGTCTCCGAAGTGGGCGGAGTCAGGACAAGGATCTGATGCAACCTTCATGCCTGACGTCCACAGTTGTTGTTGGAGATAACAACTGTGGGAGAGGGCGAAAATATGGCTGGTGAATTATAGTTATTGTAATTGATTTGAGTGAGTGTAGATATCAATGTGTTTTCAGGTCTCTAAAGACCACTTTTTCGATCAACATTAGAAAACACTATGTGCCAAGATATCAATAAAAATCTCAAACAAACAAAAAAGAAAAAAAAAAGATAAAAACAAAAAAGAAGATAATATAATAATGCATTATACATAGTATGTCTATTTATTTACATATACATATAACGTGAACAAAATACACCCCCCCCCTAACTATAACTGAAAAAAGAAATAAAATACAATGTTTGCCCACAACAGTCACCAAGATAGGCTGCAAAGGACACATTCATTCGTTTTCCCGATAAGAGAAACACAGGGACACAATCATGATTACCTGACGTGGGGATGTAAATCAAGGCTGACTGACAAAAACAACAGAGGAAAATTATTCAATTTTTACATACCACTAGTGCTCTTAAACCAACCGACTGCTTAAAATCCATAATGTAACGATAAATGAAACTAAAAGACAACAAATTGAATTGTGTTAACACCATTTCTTGGACTTAAAAATATAGAGAGCCAGTATAACATTGTGTAATCAAAGTCAATCGTATTATTCGGATGAATACCAACCGTAAAAGCAATTTGTTTTAATTCGTTTTGGAAAAAAAGTGTTTATCTTTTCAGTTTTCACAATTAACTAGACTAAATCCCTTTGAATTCTCTCTGCTATAATCTGCAATCGGACAACATTTCAATGTAATCCACTTTTCGAGGAAAACATGTTGAGAGATACACACGCAGAGAGAGAGAAAGAGAGAGAGAGAGAGAGAGAGAGAGAGAGACCGGGGGCGGGGGGCGGGGCGGAGGAAGAGCGAGAGACTCGATGAGATATAGACAGACAGGAACAGAAACAGAGAGATATCTAAAATATATCTAGATTTAGATCTAGATCTAGATATAAAGAGAGAATGAGAGAGAAAGAGAGAGATAAAGAGATGAGAGAGCAAGAGAGGGAAAGAGACATTCATACAGATATATGAGGATACATAGATATGAATAGGAAGATAGATAGCTAGATCTAGATAGATAGATAGATAGATAGAGAGAGAGAGAGAGAGAGAG